CGTAATGAAAGAAGCCAACAAATTCAAAATGGAGTTTAAAATGGGCGTAGAGATACAACTGCTGCACAATACACCGGCTGAAACTGCAAAATACTTAAAAAAGAGAGCAAAAACGAATGCAACCGACCAGATACAGAAGCGATGGCAAGATAAACCGCTTCATGGCCAATAATCTGCCCGTACCAAACAAGCTGACGTAGACAAAATCTGTACACATCAGTGGCTACGTAGTGCAGGGTTGAAATCGGAAACTGAAGGTTTTATCCTTGCTGCGCAGGACCAATGCTTGCTAACTAGGAATTATCAAACATTGTGTCAGCCCAAAATGCAGATTCTGTGATAAATATCCAGAAACGATTGATCATCTTGTATCAGGTTGCACGATGTTGGCACCCACTGAATATAAAACCCGACATGACAGAGTGGGCCAATATCTGCACTGGAAAATCTGCAACTTCTACGGGAAGGAAACTGAAAGAAACTGGTATGAACACCACCCAGACCCGGTTACGGAGATAGGACCTGTTACAATTCAATGGGACTACACAATACACACTGACAGAACAATCAAGGCCAACCGCCCAGATATTGCTATTAAAGACCACAAACAAAAACGGTGCCTCCTTATTGATATGGCTGTCCCTGTTGACTGCAACGTATCTTTGAAGATATTAAAAAAGCTGTCAAAATACAAGGACCTTGAAATAGAAATCTCGAAAATGTGGCATATGGGAACATCAACAATCCCTGTTGTAGTTGGAGCCCTAGGACTGGTTGGAAAAGATTGCAGTAGACTAATTGAAGGGATTCCTGGAAGTCCATGCCTCAAGGAGATACAAAAAATTGTTCTGACAAGTACAGCCGACACTTTACGAAGGGCTTTATATATGTAATTTTTACTTTTTTTTTTGTCAGTGGAAAGTGTCATGATGCCATTTCTAACCTTAGATCCCTGGGCCGGACCCGGAAAGAAATGTGTAAACGCCCGAAATCAAAGAAAATAAAAATTATAATAATAATAATAATAATAAGAAGAAGAAGAAGAAGAAGAAGAAGAAGAACGGAAGAAGACGAAGAATTGTTTCATACATGATTTTCTGGTTTAACCGTTAGAAACGATGTCGATTTGCACAGATTCGAAGTTTAGCATCCAAAATACATAGCATTATATAAGAAACAAAACTTTCCGGTAACGCTGATAATACACTATTCGTTATAATGATTGAGATAATTGAGAATACTTGTAAATGGAAGAAAATATATACTTCACATAGTTTATCCAATTTTTTTTCCCGATCTACAACAACTTTACTTGCATTTGGTAAAAACGCAATAAATATTGTACTGACAAATGTTTTGGTTGACTTTAATTTAAATATTGAGGAGTAGACAGAGAGGGAAACAGCGATATAAATAGATAGCTAATAAGTTAGGAATACGTATATAAATACAGCAATTTTAACTTAGATATTCATTTTCTGAAAGCCATATCACTTAAGTACATAGGCGCTCAGGGGTCTCTACAGATTTATCTTGGAACTGTAATGTCTTCCTGGGAAGAATAATGGAGTGCTTTCTCGTTTCCTTCGGTAAGGTTTAGAATTCATGGCTATCTTTCTTCAAGTATTGGCTACAACATAAGAATTGAAAGTCCTGGATATCCAGCTATTTACGCTATATGCTCTCGTTTATCAAATTTATGCTACAAAATTTACAAGTAAATTTGATTTAAATTATATATTCACCCTTATTTGCAATGACTTTATGTGACTTACCAGATTGCAGTTCGAAGCATTTTCATTTAAATTTCACCATTTTTTTTACTATCTTCATAAGAGAAAAAAATTATTTTCTGTTAGAATATTTTGCTGAGACCGAAAAAATATCATCTGCAAAGTGAAATAGTAAAGACCAACTAAATTCCAAAAGTTTTCCTCTTGCTGCAATTCTGCGTTTTGCTTTTAGTCCACTGTGTACGCTGCCACAGCCATGCAAAAACTAAGCCATGTTAGTGTACTTCAATTTAACAGAACATGAAGGTAGATGCTTTTTGGATAGAAAAAATGAGTGTATGCTTTGTATATCACACATCGATGAGCGATAAATATTCCAGCGGCGTTGGATCAGGACAGAGAAAAAGTATAAAGGCTAAATAGATAGGATGAACACAATATACAGAAATGCAAAAAACATTTTCTTCTTAGTTAATTGTTTTGCTTCTAGTCGAATCTCTGACGGCAAAATCAATTTTCTTGATTGATTTATTATCAGGTGAACAAATGCACGTCATCATCTGAAACGTAAAATTGCTGAGAAGGCGCGTTTCTTTAGTTCTCACAGAAAAGAGTATTTTCCTTCGCCTGGAACCTAACAGACACGCACTTGGAGGGGCGTTGAGGAGAGCATTATCTTTCTAATCGTTGAATTAAAGCTAACGAAGACACCAACCTCGTAGTGGACCTTTGGACACAATGACTTTGAGTTCAATGCCTACATCCAGGAAGAATAAGTAGAAAAGGTGACGGAATTAAGCGATATAGAATTGACTGAGTAATGAATAATAGAAGAGGAAAATGAACAGAAGTTTTATTGTAAAAGGGTCTTCTAAAAATAGGTGACATCAGCTCAATAAGGCCAAGGGCATAAGTAGGGGCGAAGAGGAAGTAAACTAAGAAAGAAAGAGTACAGGAATTTAGAAATGAAAGAAAGAAAGAAAGAAAGATTGAAAGAAAGAAAGAAAGAAAGAAAGATTGAAAGTAAGAAAGAAAGAAAGAATGGATGGAAGAAAGAAAGAATGGATGGAAGAAAGACTTTTCTCAGTTGCCAGATAAGAGCATATCAAAAGAATGGCGAAGAAGGGCAAAAAGGATGAGAACAAAAAATGTAGAAGGGAAAGGAAGAATGCGAATGAAAGAAAGAAGTTACACACTCCCTTGAAGAAAAGAAAGAAAGAATTCAATAAAGGAAGAATTTGAGAAGAGGTTAAAATTATCTTCTTTGAAGAATCAGCGAAGAAAGGCCCTATAAAAACTGTTTTAAATTAGAGAAAGAGGCAAAAAACAAAATTTCTTGAAAAAGAGAAAGACGTTAAACTGCCTTGAAAAAAATAATGTCGTTAAAGAAACCTTCCTTGAATAGACGAGAAAGAAATAGAATGAAAGAGAAGAAAGATATTGATTAAAAGTGAGCTGTCTTGAAGAAAGGAAAAAAACAAAGAACAAAGAAAGAGGTTAAAATAATTGAACATGAAGAAAAGAAAGAGAGCAAAATGTGGAAAGATAAAGAGAGAAAGAACGAAGCTGAAAACGGACGTAAGGTATGATAGAAAAATTAAATAGTTAAAAAAAACTACTTTGGTGTGGAACGAAGATGTCATGAGTTTCAATGTAAATAAAAGTAGTTAAAACCATCTTCCTCAAAGAAAGAAAGAAAGTATGGAAAAAAAGAAAGAAAGAAAAAAGAATGAAAGAATTGAAACTAAATAAAGAAAAAAAATGGAAAAGAAAGAATGAAAAAAGAAAGAAAGATATTTATTAAAAACTATATAAAAATAGGGAAATGTGCAACATTAGAGAAAGAAAGCTCATGAGAAAAGGCAGAACTGCTATTCACAAGGAAGAAAAGTCGAAAGATCTCCAAGAAGGATTACGGATAGAAAAGCCATGGGATGTAAAGAAAAAAATGATGAAACGGATAAGTTTAAATATGACGAAATATTCAATATGTAGAGAAAGATATTGTGAAAATTGTTCAGAGTTTTAATAATGCAACGGTGAAAACTGAAGAGAATTATTATTAAACGAATAATTTAGAAAGAGAAAATAAACAGGATAATAAATGGAAATAATATTTCAAATCATATTAATTGACAAAAAAACCTAATGAATAATAAAAAGTATATGTAATGGCCGAGAGACAAACGAACATAGGTTGAAAAATAGAAAAAAGAGTTAAAATTGAAAGGATAAAAAAAGGAAAATGAGAACCGTTTTGCAAATAAAGGAAATAACTAATGAATATAAAGTCTGAGGCTGACTATCGAAGGACAAAGAAAGAAAAAAAAGAAAAGAACTTGTAGGGGACACTACTCTTGGCTCCGGGTCAAATGTAACAGCCAATGGATGCCTGCCAGTGGTGACGGAAACTTGTGAACAAAGTTGAAATCAAAGATAAGGAAAAAATTGAAGTAGTAAAACAAGACGCATTTTCCTACCAGCAACAAAAAAAAAGACTTTACCAAATAAAAAAAATGACATGATGGAATTATAGAGACAGAAGGAAAGATAGTTCGAGTGTATTGACGAGAAGGAAAATGACCGGAAGGTTATAAGAGATGACTACAAACCTTATGGCTGAATCGATAAAGAATAGACTTGTTTCCTAACGGCCAGTCACCAACACAATGGCGACTGACAGAAATGAAGCTGGGTCCAAGAGTTGCACAACAAAATATAGGCACAAAAAGTTAACAAATATTTTTTTTTTTAAATACAGTAAGATGACTAAATTCATATGGCATAATTAAGAAAGGTCAAGAAAACTATGGTTGAAAGAGAAAAAATACGAATTAAATTGAAATACTTTCGATCGATAAATATATTTGTTACTGTATTTTATTAAAATGTAGCCATCGTAACAATAGTAAAATAAAATTTACGGCATATTTCCCTGTTTCAACAACAAATATCATGTAGCAGAAAGGAGACTGAGAAGCAAAAAAACACTTATAATTGGCATCTAAAAGAGGCGGTTGAAATTTCTAGGACACACAGAGAGGAAAGAGAGTCCAGAAAATTTAACACTCAGAAGACATATTGAAGGGATAGATGAAAGGAGCGCATTGAGAGCCATGATCATTTACGTCCTGAATGTCCACGGAACTTATGAGAAGAATATCAAATAACTGTTTGTCTGATTTATGCCTGGAAATGATCTACAATGATAAACTTTAATCACAATATAATTTTTCCCAGAGATTCAGGGTTTTACGGACATATAAAAGTGAAACACCGGTTCTCGTACAATCACCGAAATTAAGCAAAGTTGAGACTGGTCAATATCTAGATGGGTGACCCCTTGGGTATACCAGGTGCTGTATGCCTGCATGGTATAATGGATAACAGCTCTGAATTGAAAATTAGAGAGCCGTGTTCCAATTCCAGTTGGGTTCGTTAGATTCCTTTACGCTCAAATGTCCTTGGAAAAGTATGAATCAACCTCTTCTCCACCGCTATGGGTTAATTAGTAGCAATTGTATCATTAAAAACAATATTATCTCAAAAAAAGTTTTAATCAAAAATATTCTCTGGCTTAAATAATCCCCCGAAGGAATGATAAGCGGTAAAAAAAATAAAATCCCTCAATCAATCCCAGAGATTTTGTGACCTTGAATGAAAGTTGGAAAATTTTAAAAATTCATTAAAAATCCTATGAATGATAAGTAATCGGATATAATTGTAGGAAGCATCCTACAACTTATCAATGGATGCTTTTTCCGTGAATCCATTCGAAATTTGTTCGGAAAAAAAGAAACAAATAATGTCAAACGCAATGTGAACGCGTCATACCTATAGAAAAACTTGCACACTAAAATGTTACTGTTCAAAGCTAAGCACAAATGATGTGCTTGTAAAATACAGTTCAGACATTTATAGCTAAATCCGTCATAAAATATTTGTTCTAACCCTCGACTGATTCAAACGTCGTCGGTGGGACTTAAGGACAGAAGAAATAAACTTTGGTTCTTCTTCCTCAATGTTCAGTTTTCCGCGCCCATCTCCTCTGCAAGCTCTTGGTAATCAGACGAAGATCACGGCAAATGGTGTCACTGGTCCTCGGTCCGGACACTAGGCTCTCGAGTTTCGTAATCAGAGTTATTATTTCTAAGCATAAATAATATATATATATATATATATATATATATATATATATATATATATATATAAAGAAAAATATACTAAAAAACAAACAAAAATCTTAATATGCGATTATGCTGTTTTAATGTTTAATGTCAACGTCGGACGTTTCGGTCTAATAGACCATCTTCAGGACATATTCATAAAACATAATTAAGATAGACCATATACAATTCAACATGAAAAAGACGATGGACATAAAAGCAATACCAATCCAAACAGATAACTGAAATAACAGATAATCGCATATTAGGATTTTTGTTTGTTTTTTCAGTATATTTTTCTTCATACTGTCGGATCTATATCCATATATTTGCTTATATATATATATATATATATATATATATATATATATATGGAGAGAGAGAGAGAAGAGAGAGGAAATATGTAATGGTCGACACAGAAACGACTCTCCCGAAGTATGAGAGTCCAGCTATTCTGTTCTTAGAACCATACCTCCAGACAATGTGCACATACTTGTTTATATCCGATATCCGACAGTATCTTTTGGCATAATTGGTACACAGCGTGTCACGCTATTGCCAAACAACTTCTCCTAGACTGGTTGGTACACAAGGCTATATGACCCAATCTGTCCTGCTATGTCTTCATAGCTGGGGGCTGAGAAACGATAGATTCATATTTTCCGTATGAATATACTGAACTCGGCAGGAAATTAGAATTCGGTTCTCCAATTCCTCAATCCGACCCGCTATCTATTCATCCACCGTACCTCCGAGCTGGTATTCTTGACTCCATCGCACCATACCATATACACAAGAGCAACCCATCCTCACCTGCTTAATATCACACTGGTAAGAAGAAAGTTTCATTTAGACATCTTCTCAAGAACATACCCTGAGATGATACTTCCCTAAACACTAGAATATTAATCAGTTTTAGGGTCAGCGGTTACCTATTCCCATTTCTGCAGATATTTTTCCTTATTCATCCTTACGTCCAACAATCTCATTTAATACCCTTCGACATTGAGAGGAAGATGCGTGCATGGTTCAAATATTAGCGGCACGGAATGAGAAATCGGAGAGCTGAGTTCGAATTCTACTTGAGTTACTTACATTCACTTACACGCAAATAACCCTGGAAAAGGTATTTAACTCCATATGGATTAAACCGTATGTCTTTTAACTAGAAATATCAATGTTTTCTGCCCAAAATTATTAATGCAATATACACGCGCAACAAGAGCATTATTTTTTAAATCGAATATAATGTTTCAGATTACCTCAATAAAGGGTTGATACGCAGTATAATCAAATTAGTCAATCAATCAATTAACTTGAGCTTTGTTTTGAGTGAACATTTAGTAAAAAATATGTTATATCAACATTTCTCATCCTAATTCTCTTAAATTGTTAAATCTAACGAAGATTTATTTACTCTGGTTCAATGTCCCAAATACTAATTTCCCAATGATGATCGAACTCGATACTTAACTGGTAATAACTGATCTAGGTTGGTCAATAGATATTATTGATTCTGTCGTATCATCGTGCCCATAGTGGAGACATTTGCTCCCCGGAAGATTCTTATAAAAGCCTGTCCAAGTGAAATGTCACCAGACTTCCACGGTCCAAGAACAATGTCAACAGATTCAAACAAGTGAAAATAACCAATCAAAATGTTTCAGTAACGGAATAACTGCTGGTTGATGTCTAAGGACCACAATGCAATTCACTGGATCCTGTACACTGCCTCAGTAGATAGATTGTGTTGCGCCAAACTAGAACTGGAAGGGATTTAATATTCGTTTTCGTTGGATTACTAACAATATCAGCCTGTAGTTGTCTTATATTCCATCGATAATGAGTGTCTCTTCTTATTTGAAGGGATTTGACACTGTTGTAAGTTTACTATTGTTGACCATGGAATAATTATAGTTGCTGCCACCTTGCCACTTGTCTTAGGTTTTCCACGGTCAAACGATCTTAAACCCCTCCTCTAGCTGCCACATCTCAAGTACTACCTTAAGTATTGTATGACATACGCAGTCTATCTGAATCTATTTCTGTAGGGGAATGCGAAACCATGCAGTGTAAATGATTTTATCATTTGATTTTAGTAAAACGGAATAATCGTATTCTAGTAAAATTTACAGGATGAGAAAAAAGACTCGAAATCACTACTTCAGAAATTATATTTAAGAAATGATTTTGATATTTATTACGTTACGTTACGTATTTTAAACTCTGTATTTCTAAAATGAGGTATTGTAAGTATTTACATTTTTCGAATTGTTGCCCTCCCCTTTATTCTCATATTGACGACTTTTCAGCCCTAATCAGCTGTGATCTTCTTCAGGTTATATACTTTAGAATTACAAACATGGTTCACCGGATAAAAGCGTTGTTTGAAATAATCCATTAACTTAAGACAAAGAATTAGGAGTTCAATACTTGGCCAAAACAAAGATGAACATAAAAAATGGAATATGTAGAGTTAGTAAAGAGAATTTACTGAAACGGAGATACCTATAAGAATCTACCCGGGTGGACGAAATAAATAGTTCGGTTCAAAATTCCAACTCCTGACGAGAGGCGGGGTGTACCTTCTTGTGCAAATTAATTGGAACAAATTTAGTTTCCTTTCTTTCACCACACGGTCAGTTTTAGACTCACTGGAGTGACAGGGCGTAATCAATTTCTATTTTTTCTTTAGATTAGGTCATTTGAAAAGGTGTGCAGTAATATGAATCTATTTTCGGTGTGTGTGATGGATTTTGTTGACCTTGAAAAAAGATTGCTTCATCTGTGATTGCATCAGATTTTTATCACGTTCAGACACTATTTTCCCGACTGTCGATTAATTGTCCTACAGCCATTGTCTGAGATGGACGTTACTCCAAGTACGCGTACTAAAATTTTTAACGTTGCACAAACACACTGGCAACCCTTACCAATGAGCAAGACTGTCCAGGATCTCTCCTGTTTAAATCCAATAAAGAATCTGTGGTCAATCTGCAAGGAACCACTTCGTGCAATGAACATACGAAGTACTAACAATATGCACTGTGTCATGTTTCATTGGAAAATACGAAAAAAGTAAATAATAACGGGATTATTCGTTTTGTTTCAATTAATGTGCACAAAGGTGTACAGCAGCGGAAACGTCGTGAATATGACACTAAGATGAGGACAATAGTTCGCTCAATCTATATAGCTTTTTAAACTGTTAAAATATAGAACTGTGACATGCAAATATCACGGCTAGTCTGAAATACTCCTCTCTCTCTCTCTCTCTCTCTCTCTCTCTCTCTCTCTCTCTCACACACACACTTTTTGTCTTTCTGCCTTCCCTACTTTGTCTCTCACTATTTGCTAGCATTACATTTCAAAACACCCCATCATCAGCACTCTTTTACTCTTACTCAAGAGAAAAACAACAACAAAAATATACAAATTACACATCCCGGTTATAAATGAATTACCATTATGCTATATTTCATTTTGATATCTCCATTTTTCTCACGAGAAATTTTATATTACATTAATTTTATTCCATCCTAGCATATCTTTATTCTATCATACCTTGTTCTACTTTTATTTTATTTTTCTCATGACTTGTCTTAAATATAATTTTAAATAAAAAAAAATGCTGTCCACCTAATGGCGATGACTGTGACAGCTCAGCATAATCTAAACATTGGCCATTGCCGGAGTAGGCAATTTGTAAACTGTCGTTGTAATAAAATGTTCGTCGATCCACGCATGCGTATTACTTCAACATACACGTCTCTGTATAGTGTTTTTGTTTATTTTAAAACTCATAATCAATAATTCTGATGGGCATTCTCGTGAATTGTCTCTCCAAGTGGATTTAATTTTAATACCGACCATTTTTTCATCTAATTACAATGTTTTTGCTTTAAGTGATCTTTTAAAACTTTTTCTATGATTCCTTGTTACATTCTTATTAATTTTGCCTCGTAGTAAATGTTTTCTTGTTTTTCGATCTGCGTCCGGATACATAACTAATCAATTTATTCTCATCTTTATCTCTAGAGATAATATACAGACGATTATATGCACATATTGAGAATTATATGTCGAGAAATATTTAAGTCACACAATCCCGTATCAAATAAATTCCAACTTCCTTTTATATACTAGTATCATGGCTTGATGTTGAATTATTAAATGTCTGATTTCTTGCTCGTTCAGGTGA